GATAGTTGTGTGGGACTAAGTGAATTTGTTCTATGCGATCTCGGAAAAGGCATTGCAATCGCGGAAGGTGGCTTGGCAATGCTTCGAGTTTGCGAGGATAAAGACGCAAACGCGATGAGTTAATGGTCTTCGAGATCGCGTGGAGGCAGTCGCGATCGCATAGGAGAAATTTCTTGGGCAGGCAGGTGAAAGTCATCATGGTCAGTAGTGGGACCACGAATGCGGAGGGCTGGGGACTATGTGTATCTCGAACGTGACCTGGGCATCATGATCGCGATGAAGGTTTTCTAGGCAGAAGGCAGATTGGTCTTCGCGATCGGGAGGCATTTTCCGCGATCGCTATTAAGAACCCCCTAGGCAGAATGTGATTGTAATACGGGATTTAGGCTCATTCTCCTCATTTTTCACTTGGCTTGGGCAATTTGGAAAATCTTTGGAGGGGGTTTTCATCAAGCATCATGAGGTACGTGATTTCTACCAATTATAGGTTAAATACATGGATTAGGTGAGGATTTTAACATGGGAATTTGTAGATTTTGGGGGGTTTGGTTGAAAAACCTATAATTTGGTAAAAATAGGTATTTGAACACTAAATTAAATATGGATAGGGGTAAAAACTATTTAATTGAGTTTGTAATTCCATGGATAACATTTATCTTCGAACATTTCTGAAATCCAGGCACGTGGGTCAGGGGTTGACTTTTGTTGAATTTTTGAGTGCTGTGGAGTTTTGAATATAATAATTGAATTATGAGATTTTGAATATATATTGATTGGTTTGTATGCCCTTTTACTAGTTTTGGATTGCTCGGCATCGATTTGAGGTGACTAGTGAGGTTTGGGAGCCGAGTAGTAGGCTTGGAAGCAAGGTAAGTCTCTTGCATAATCTTATAAGAGGAAATTAACCCCGTAAGTATTTAACTGTTGTGTGCTACTTGTTGTGGATGCTACGTACATACGAGGTAACAAGAGTCCGTGTGCAGCTAGATTCATGTTTATGTCAGGGTAGACTTAGACCTACACCGTACCTAAACTGTATTATTTGAATTAAACTTGTTTGTTTGATTACTTGAACTTATAACTGGACTGAGACTAGAATTTATGTATTGACCGAGCCTCTTACTTTGAATTTTGTGGGATATTTGATGATCGGTAGTTCCATGTCTTTCGAATCGCACGTATCTTTGTGGGTGAGAGACTTTCATTATTCTTTTAGGATTAGGTTGTTTACCTCGGCAGTATTGTGAATTATTATTATGGGGTCTGGCCGTTCGCCTCGGCAGTATTGTGAATTATACTTATGGGATCAGGTCGTTCACATCAGCAGTATTATAAATTATTCTTATGGGATTGGGCCATTCTCCTCGGTGGTATTATGTAAAACTATTATTTTGGGATCGGGTCGATCGCCTCGGCAGACTCGTGTGTAATACTCTACAGGGAGTCAGTGTGCATATGAGTTTTTCTGACTTGAGATATGGTATCGTATTTGATATTGGTTGACCTTGTCCCTTCAGGGTAGTTTATGGTATTGAATTATTTTATAATTATTCTTTCTTAAGAATCATATTACTATATCTATCTGTCTTGCTACTACTTGTTGTGTTTCATAGTTGTCTACTTTATATACATTGTTATTGGACCACTAGTAAGTGTCGATGTCGACCATTCATCACTACTTCTTCGAGGTTAGACTAGTTACTTATGGGGTACACGTTAATTTATGTACCCATACTACACTTATGTGCTAATTGTGTAGGTACTGAGACAGGTACTTTAAGTGGTCACTCGAGCGCGTAGCCGCATTTGCTGGAAACCTTGTGGTGAGCGGCTTTCCATACTTTGACCCGCTGCACCCAGAGTCTCCTTCCCCCTATGTTTATTTTATTCTTTCTATTTTTGTTCCCGACAGTAGATATAATGGTTTTGTATAATCTACCAGATGCTCATGTACTTAGTGACACTGGGTTTTGGGGATTTCTAGTAGATGATTATGGTTGTACTTAATATTATCATCATTCAGCTTTATGTTTATTTTGTACTGGTGATTTATTAAGAATGAAAATATTTTAACATGTTTTCCAGACTTAATTCCACCCCCCCCCCCATAAAATTCTTGATTTTAAAGGTTTTATTAACGGATAATTGTGTTGGTGGTTCACCGTTCATTTTCCCAACGACAGCATTGGGCGCCATCATGGCCTACGATGGGAATTGGATCGTGACAGCTTGGTATTAGAGTACTAGGTTCACATATGTTTCACGATTCATGAGCAAACTTAGTAGAGTCTTGCAGATCGGTATGAAGACGTCTGTACTTATCTTCGAGAGGCTATAGGGTGTTAGGAATTTTCTCTTTTTTGGTGTGCTAAGTATCTTTCTCTTATTCTTTCACAAATGGTGAGAACGCGCACAAATGCATTACCCGGCGACGGAGGGGCTTCTCCTCAATTGTCAGAGGTAGAGGCAGAGGCTGAGGGAAGCCCATATCTCTTGTCAGAGGATGAGGGCGTCCTAGAGTTGCCCCAATAGTACCACTGGTAGATTTGGTGGAGGATAATATTATTGAGGAGCATGATGAGGTACCTGCAGTTGAGCCAGCCCATCAGACTTTATGACTGCACCAGGATTTTAGGAGATCATGCATCGTATGTTGTGATTTATGGATTCAATGACTCAGGCCAGACTATTTCCAGCTGACCCGACCATATCTCAGGAGGTAGGGGAGCACAGACCCCTACCGCTCATGCGTCAGGGCATGCTGCTGCTTTTTATCGGACCCTAGGTACACAACCTGCGGGCGGGGTTCAGCCGGTTGCAGCATTTAGAGCAGAGGTCAGACCGGCCATGACCATTGAGGAGACAAAACGGCTGGATAGATTTACTAGACTTCATCCTCCCGTCTTTGGATGTGAGAAGTCAAAGGACCCACATGATTTCATTGACTGTTGCAAGGAGAGGCTAATTTTAGATAGAGGGGAAGGCCCATAGATGGTGGCAGTCTTATCTCTATAGCAGGCAAACAGGTTCACCTCCCTTCACTTGGGATCCATTCACACACCTCTTCTTGGATAAGTATATTCCACCTACTCAGAGGGAGGAGTTACGGGGTTAGATGGAGCAGCTCTGGCAGGGTTAGATATCTGTGACCGACTATAAGATGAGATTCACTGACTTGTCTTGTCATGCAGCTATCACACTCCCCACAGATGCAGAGAGAGTGGGGAGGTTTATTGCGGGCTTGCATCATGAGATTCAAGTTTCTATGGCCCGAGAGGCAGAGATGGGGACTCTGTACTTCCAAGTAGTAGAGATAGCTCGGAGGATCAAGCATATATATATAACAAGAGCAGAGAGTTCATGTCGAGGGATATGCGGCCTCAGCATTTTGGTGGATTCAATGGAACCCCATCTGGTAGCAGAGTTCAGTTCATGAAGGACCATCCTAGCAGGCCCATGCATACAACACCACAGCCTATCGGGGTGCTCATCCTACCACAATGGCCGAGATCAGGAGTTTCTTGGAGCTAGCAAGTTATTATCGCCGGTTTGTAGATGCCTTCTCATCTATTGCACCTCCTTTGACTAGATTGACCCAGAAGGTTGCTTAGTTCAGATGGTCGGGTGATTAAAAGGTGAGCTTTCAGAAGCTCAAGATCGCATTGACTACAGCACTAGTGTTGGTTGTTCCCTCTGGTTCAGGGATGTATATTGTGTATTGCGATGCTTTACGCATTATATTAGGTTGTGTATTGATGCAGGAGGGCGAGTTATTGCACATGCTTCATATCAGTTGAAGCCCCGGGATAAGAATTACCATGTGCACGATTTGGAGTTGGCTGCAATAGTTCGTGCTCCCAAGATCTGGAGGCATTATCTTTATAGAGTGTCGTGTGAGGTGTACACCGATCACCATAATTACAGCATCTATTTAAGCAGAGGGAGCTTAATTTGAGGTAGCATAGTGTCTTGAGTTACTAAAGGACTATGATATTACCATCATTTATCATCTGAGCAAGGCGAATGTGGTCGCGGATGCCTTGAGAAGAAAGATCGAGAGTTGGGTAGTTTGGCATTCATTTCAGCAGAGGAGAGGCCATTGTCTTTGGACATTTAGTCTTTAGCTAACCGACTTGTGAGCTTGGATATTTATGAACCCTACTGAGTTCTTGCATGTGTTGTGGCTCGGTCTTCTTTATTCGAGCGAATTAAGGCTCGTCATTTTGATGATTTGCACTTGCTAGTTCTTGGAGAGACGGTACTATGAAGTGATTCCAAGGAGGTTACTATCGGGGATGATGGTGTTATGCGAATCCAGGGTCACTTAGGTGTTCCTAATGTTTGGTCTGAGGGAGACGATTCTAGAGGAGGCACACAGTTCGCGTTATTCTATTCGTCCAGGTGCCACGAAGATGCATCGTGACCTGAGGCAGCATTACTGGTGGCGGCGGATGAAGAAGGACACAGTTGAGTATGTGGCGAGATGTTTGAATTGCCAGCAGGTTAAGTACGAACACTAGAGGCCAGGTGGATTACTTCAGCAGATGGTTATACCAAAGTGGAAGTGAGAGCGCATCACCATGGATTTCGTGGTTGGTTTGCCATAGACGTTGAGGAAATTTGATGTTGTTTGGGTCATATTCGACATACTGACCAGGTCTGCACACTTTATTTCGATGATGACTACATATAGTTCAGAGAGGTTGGCCCAAATTTATATCCAGGAGATCGTCTGGTTGCATGGCATGCCTATTTCCATTATTTCAAATCGAGGCACTCAGTTCACTTCGCATTTCTAGAGAGTAGTAAAGAGTGAGTTGGGTACCCAGGTAGAGCTCAGCACAGCCTTTCATCTGTAGATCGATGGACAGTCGGAGCGGACAATTCAAATTCTGAAGAATATGCTCAGAGCATGAAATATTGACTTAGGAGGGTAGTGGGATCGATCCTTGCCGTTGGCCGAGTTTGATTATAACAACATCTATCAGTCATGTATCGAGATGGCTCCATTTGAGCCCGATGAAGCCAGATTATATGGTATTGATTTGGTGAAGGATGACTTGGATAAGGTAAAGTTGATTCAGGAGCAGGTTCACACAGCACAGTCCAGGAAGAAGAGTTATGTAGATCAGAAAGTGCGTGATTTGTCATTTATGGTGGGTGAGAAGGTACTTTTGAAAGTCTCGTTGAAGAAGGGTATCATGAGGTTTGGAAATCGGGGCAAATTTAGTCCGAGGTTCATCGGTTCATTCGAGGTTTTGGAGCGAGTTAGTGAGGTTGCATATAGGATTTCTTTGCCTCCTAGTCTATCAAGAGTTCATCCGATATTCCACGTCTCTATGCTCCGTAGGTACCATGCCAACAGGTCCCATGTGTTGGATTACAACACAATTCAGCTAGATGGGAGTTGTGGTTATGAGGAAGAGCTAGTTACCATTGTCGACATGAAGGTTCGCAAGTTGAGGTCTAAGATTGTAGCGTGAAGGTCCAGTGGAGGGGTCAATCAGTCGAGGAGGCCACTTGGGAGACTAATGAGGACATGCGGAGCAGATATCCACACTTATTCGGCACTTCAGGTGTGATTCTAAACTTGTTCCAGGACAAACGTTTGTTTAAGAGGTGGAGAATGTAACACCACGACCGGTCGTTTATCTTTCTAGATCCTTGTTCCCCTATTTAAGACTCCCTGTATGTGTTTTTCATGTTTTATGACTTGCGGGGATGGTTGGATGGATTTCGAAGGGTTCGGGTAGAATTGGGAACACTTAGTTCAAAATAGTGGCCTAAGGTGGATAAGTTTTACTTGAGTCAACACTTTGAGTAAATGACCTCGGAATCAGTATTTTAAGGTTCCAATAGGTTCATATGGTAATTTTGGTCTTGGTCATATGTTGGGATCGATATTTAGGTGGATAATGAGTGTTTTGGTGCTTATTGTTGGAAGTTGGCATATTGAAGGTTTTATAGTTTTCTAAGTTTGATTTGAAGTAGACTTTGGTCTTATAGTATCCTGTTCGGCATTACGGACCTATGAATAGGTTCATTTTGTCATATCGGACTTGTGTGTGAAATCTGGCGTCATTTAGAGTTGTCTATGTATGCTTCATCGCGTTCGAAGCTAGTTAGAAGAAGTTTGAAGTTTAGTAGTTGATTAATTTGGTTTTGAGGTGCGATTCGTGGATGGACTTGTTGGTATACTTGGATGGGGTCCCGAGTTGCTCGGGGTGAGTTTCGAACCACCGGAGCAAGGTTGAAGTTGGAAGATTTTGCTGGTGTCGGGTGTGAATCGCGATCGCGAATATGGTCACGCGATCACAGAGAGTTGTGCGGGACTGAGGGGAATTTGTTCTATACAATGTCGGAATAAGCATCGCGATCATGGAAGGTGGCTTGGCAGCGCTTCGCGTTCGCAAGGCTATAGACGCGAAGGCGATGGGTTAATGGTTTAGGCCAGGAGGGTAGTTGGTCTTCGCGTAAGAGGAGTTGATGGGGCAGAAAGGCGTAAGCCTTTGCGAACGCGGCAGTGGGACCACGAACGCAGAGGGTTGGGGACTATGTGCATCGCGAACGCAACCTGGGCATCACGATTGCGATGATGGTTTTCTGGGCAGATTAGCATTCGCGATCGCGAGGCATTTTTCGGGATCGCGATTAAGAACCCCTGGGCAAAATGTGATTTTAATATGGGACTTAGGCTCATTTTCCTCATTTTTCACTTTGCTTGGGTTATTTGGGAGCTCTTTGGAGGGGTATTTTCATCAAGCATCATGAGGTAAGTGATTTCTACTAATTATGAGTTAAATACATGGATTAGGTGAGGAATTTAACATGGAAATGTGTTGAATTTGGGGTTATTGTTGAAAAAACTAGAATGTGGTAAAAAATAGATTTGACCACTAAATTTATTATGGAACGGGGTATAAATTATATATTTGAGTTCGTAATGCCATGGGTAACATTATCTTCAAAAATTTCCGGAATCAGGGCACGTTAGCCCGAGGTTGACTTTTATTGACTTTCTGAGTGAGTTTGGGAATCGACTTTAATAGTTAAATTATGAGCTTTCGAGAATATATTGATTGTTTTGTACGTCGTTTGACTAGTTTTGGGTTGCTCGGCATCGATTTGAGGTGACTAGTGAGGTTTGGGAGTCGAGTAGTGGTCTTGGAAGCAAGGTAAGTCTCTTTCCTAATCTTGTAAGAGGAAATTAACCCCGGGGGTATTTTAATTTTTGGGTGCTATTTGTTATGGGTGCTACGTACGTACGAGGTGACAAGAGTCTGTGCGTAGCTAGATTCTTGTTTATGTCCAGGTTGACTTAGACCTACACCATGCCTTAACTGTATTATTTGAATTAAACTTGTTTGTTTGATTACTTGAACTTATAACTGGGATGAGACCAGGATTTATGTATTGACCGAGCCTCTTACTTCATATTTTGTGGGATATTTGATGATCGGTAGTTCTGTATCTTCTCGACTCGCATGTATCTTCGTGGATGATAGAGATTCATTAATCTTTTGGGAATGGGCCATTCGCCTTGGCAGTATTGTGAATTACTCTTATGGGATCGGACCGTTTGCCTCGACAATATTGTGAATTATTCTTATGGGATCGGTCTGTTCACCTTGGCAGTATTGTGTAAAACTATTCTTTTGGGATCGGGTCGATCGCCTCAGCAGACTCGTGTGTAATACTTGATAGGGAGTCAGCGTGCATATGAGTTTTCCTGACTTGAGATTTGGTATCGTATTTGATATTAGTTGACCTTGTCCCTTCAGGGCAGTTTATGGTATTTAATGATTTCGTAATTATTCTTGCTTAAGAATCATATTATTGATATCTATCTGTCTTGCTACTACTCATTGTGTTTCACACATGTCTACTTTATTTACATTGTTATTGGGCCACTAGTAAGTGTTGATATCGACCCTTGTCACTACTTCTTCGAGGTTAGACTAGTTACTTACTGGGTACGTGTTGATTTACGTACTCATACTACAGCTCCTCACTAATTGTGCAGAACTGAGACAGGTACTTTATGTGGTCACCCGGGCACGTAGCCGCATTTGCTAGAAACCTTGTGTTGAGTTGCTTTCCATGCTTTGACCCGCAGCACCAAGAGTCTCCTTCCCCCTATGTTTATTTTATTCTATCTGATTTTATTCCAGACAGTAGATATAGCAGTTTTGTATAATCTACTAGATACTCATGTACTTTGTGACACCATGTTTTTGGGATTTCTAGTAGATTATTATAGTTGTACTTAATATTATCATCATTATGCTTTATGTTTATTTCGTACCGGTGATTTAGTAAGAATGAAAATATTTTAACATGATTTCTAGACTTATTTCCACTCCGTCAATGAAATTCTTGATTTTAAAGGTTTTATGAATGGATAATTGTGTTGGTGGTGAACTGTTGGCTTGCCTAACAGCAGCGTTGAGTGCCATCATGGCCTATGGTGGGAATTAGGTCGTGACATCAAGTCACCCACCACAGACATACATATGATCAACTATCTAACTACTAACACATTTCCATTGTACACAACTCCTAGAGATAGTTTCACCTCTCAAAATCCAATCTTTATACCTCAAAAGTGCAAGATTCCTTATCCTAGTGAACATGCCTACTCAAACACAACTTTGAAGTCGCACCTGCGAGCATCTCGAATGTGTATTTCATCAGTTCTTCCATGTCAGATAACTAAAATCTAATTCAATGACTGACTATCATACAAAGGTCATAGTGCTTAGTCGAATTATCTATAGACCCTATCTGTATTCATCCTCCACAACACATTCCCTTTTCTTGGTGACACTAAAATCGTCATTACTATGCTTCTTAAACAACTCAAATCATTTTCTCTAACTCTAATCCCAATCCTTTTGCCAGAAGACGAACCGCGGCTTTGCGAAGCAACCCATACCTCACAGTACTCAACACACCCTCCCCCCATGCCACATCTAAGTACAAGCATCCCATTATCTACTCCAAGTCAAAAGTAGGATAGACCTCAAGCTCTTAAAATCCCACTTACACATAATCAAGCCACTGGAACTGAATCTCTCCAAGTCAACCAAGTCACGCAGATTGCCAAATCCAAAAGTCCTACCACAAAAGTGCTTGTAATGTCCCATCATACCAAAGAAACTGATCATTTCTGTTACCATGCTGGTCCAAGCCACTGCAATGCTAACCCAACTTCTTCAAATTACTCTTGGCTTGACTTCAAGGCATAACTTTTCTTTCCTAATACAGTGTGTTCTTTGACCAAAACTCATCCCAAGTAACCCCGACGTGAAATTATGTCATTCTAAGATCCGTAAGCCACTTTATTCCCTTTCATGCATCCAAACTACCTCAAACAAGAATGATAAAGAAGTACTCCTAGCCTCTGCCATAACCCAATACAAATCTCAAATTCCTAACCGCACGAAGGATCCAGTAAAACCTTAAGTATCATATCTTGTAACTTGAACCCACTAGAACCATTCTCAAGAGTCATGTGCTCTGCTTCACTCCCTGATGCATAGCCAATATGCACTGAATGACTTATGCTCCTTTAGCACATAAATACTCTAAGAAGCAGCCTCATCCTTAGGAAACCGAGTAAATCATTTCCCCTTGCACACTACATCCATAATGAATAGCAAACATGAGTCATCCCACAATCTCCATATATATCAATAAAGTATAGTACATCATACATCCAGCAAATTCCTTTCCCAAATCATCCTCAATGTTACCCTTCTCAAACTATAGCTAATACACAAGCATAATCCTGGTCCAGGAACTACAGTAAAATGTGTCCATATGCCCGTTCGTCGATGGTAGACTCCTCCACTTGGCTTGAAGCCATAATCACATCATTCTATGATCCATAATAACTTTTTCCTCCTTATGTCACACCCCGACCTGGGGAGAGTGACCGGCGCTTAACCTAGATATCCCAGTCAAGCAAGCCTACCCGATGTCTTCTACCCGACCTTGCCCATGAATAAAGTGAAGATGTTTACTATTAGTTAGACAATAATAGGATTTCATGATTAACACCAATTTCATTACCATTAATTACATCCTATACAATTCCCAAAAACACATTACACATTCATAGTTTAGAAGTGGAAACTTGTGATACAAATAAAACATTTCTAGTTAAACTTTCCAAAACCAAGATATAACCCACACTATGTCTAGGGAGACTCTAATAGATACAAAAGAGTAATATGATGGTGCCGGCAACAAGGCCCCGGCTATACCTCAAAACGCTATACATAAGGAAAGAAAGATACAAGACCCCAATATGAAGTGGGGCTCACCAAGTCAGCAGAGAAGAGGGTGTACCACTATCACTAATCGATGTCGCCTATTGTGGAACCACCTGCATCCATTAAAGATGCAGCGCCCCCAGCAAAAGGAACGTTAGTACATATGGAATAGTACTAGTATGTAAGACTAAACACTCTCTCGAAGA